ATACGTAACATATACTGTAGCATTTCCCTAGACTTTCGTATACGTTGCTTTTCAAGAATAGAGCCCCTGCGCTGAGACATCGGGCTGGATTGGTAGTATTGCTGCGTAGATCCCGATTCAGCCTGACATTGCGTCCTGGGTTAGGGCACTCGCTGGGGTTTTAGTGGGTAGGCCCCGGACCGGTTAGGTCTGGGGAGAGCCCCACATAACCCGGGTTTCCTGCCCCCGAGGACCCGGGTATGCGTAACGCATTTCCCCAGCGTCAAAAAAAAAGGCTAAGTTACAGGACTGTATATCGGAAGACGGGAGGCTATACGGGTAAACGAGGAGAAGCAACGCAGCCTTCAACTTGCCCGGGAGGAGACAATCCAAAAGCTGGGGAACAGAAGACTCCTCAAGAAATCTAAGATCGACTTCGAAAAATCTAGGGAGGATGCGGAAGGCAAACCCAATGAGGATGTTGCCAGAGAGATAAATGATAGTTTAATGGAGGTTATTAGGATTGCGAAGACTTCATCTAATCTTAAGGGTACCTATCAAAAGACCCTGAAGCTGGCCGCTGCCTGAACAATAGGATGCATTGAAGTTTTACGCGAGAGGACAGAAAAAATCAACTAGGAACGCAGTCGGAGGAAATTGGATCTCTGAAGAGAGAGATCGCGAACTTCAGAAGAAGAATGACATCTGAGCTGGAAACGGAACGCAAAAAGGTGACAGAATTAACCGGAGAGGCTGAGAGATATCTCCAAGAACTAAAGGAGTTGAGGAGGGAAAAGGCAAACTGGACCCGTAGGAAGAAGCAAAAGACTCTCCCTCCGGAGAAGGTAGGAGTGAAATCGAGTGATAGACTTGAGGACAAGAAGTCTGACGACAAGATGGATACGGATGAACCAGTTGAGAAAGTGCCGCCAAGAAAAGAATGACCTCCAGTATTTCTGCCGGAACTCGGGGGTAAGAGAAAGATCCTAGATGACCGGATGGTTAAAACTTAAACAACAATGTTGTAGATGCATCCGGCAAGATAGTGTGCCAGATACAAAAGATCAAGGAATAAGAAGGAAATGGAGGGAAAACATCAACTAAGAAAACGGTGCAGCCCAAGGGGCAGGCCGCGCCCCGTGCTCTTGCAGACATTATTTGAGAGATCGTGGCGGAAGAGCTGAAAAAGGTAATTGATGCCCTCTGTCTGAGTGTGGAAGCTGATGCTCCTATTAACCGCGAGGGTTGTCCCTCAAGGAAGGAATCTAGGTCGACATCTGTAACCCGGAGAAACAAGGAGGGGAGGACGAGGTCCAAGTCGAACAAAAGGAACGCGATAGGAAGCGACACACAGAAGACGCCGCAAGTATCACCCCCCGCTGCGATACATCCAGAGGAAAGATGGTCCCAAGTCGTAGGGCGCAAAGCGAAGAGGGACCAGATCCAAACAGCAACAATGACGCAGACGCAGAGGAAGAATCTAGGTAACCCAAAGCTGACTAGCAGTATCCCGAAAGCTGAAAGACCCCAACTGAAACCTAGAAAAGTCTGGTGCGTTGCTCCTTGAGATTTCGGGAGGCGCAGAGGGTGCAGCCAAAGCAGATACTCTGGCGGAGAAACTAATGGAAATAACAGCCGATAACGGAAATGTCGTGATATCTAGGCCAGAAAAAATGGCGAAGATCAGGATCAGAGACCTAGAAGCATCCATAACAAGTGAGGATCTCTACCGGCGCATCTCGGAATTAGGAGGATGCGACTCTACGGAGGTAAAATTCGGGGACATAAACGAGACTGCGAGAGGATTGGGATCCGCTTGGATCAAATGTTCCCTTAAAGCGGCGATCAAGGTGACCAAAGCACTGAGGATAAGAATAGGTTGAACTACGATAAGGGTGGAAATGCTGCCGGACATAGACACACAATGTTATAGATGCCTGAAGAAAGGCCACGTACAGGCGGAGTGCAGGAGTGACACTGATCGCAGCAATAGGTGTTAAGTGCGGGGAACCTGGGCACAGAGTTAACCAGTGCAAGAATCAGGTTCACTGCATAATATGTGCCGATCGCGGCAGGCCGGCTAACCACAGGCTAGGGGGAAAGGCGGGCACCCCCCCCCCCCCCCCGGCCCGCAGAAGGGCGGGTAACAGCGCTCCGGTAGATGTACAAAGAAAGAAAGGTAGGGCTATGGCCGAGAGACAGATGGAGAAGGACTCCGTCAAGACCACGGATTTCGCCCAAATCATGGAGACAGAGACTAGGTCAATGGCTCGGAAAAACACAATGGAGACGGAGATGGAGGTGGAGATAATGGAGGAGGAGGCTCCCCAATCTCCGGTTATAAGTGTACGGAAGGATACGAATCTCCACACAGAGACCAGGAAAGCAGAATCGGAATCTAAGGACCCCTGGAAGGGAGCGAACCCGGAACTGACCAATGCCTGGAAAGACGCAGACAAGAACGAATAAACTGCTGCAGACGAATGCTAACCACTCCGGCCGGGCGCAGGACCTCCTCCTTCAGATGGCCAAGGATGGCTATGCTGTCGTGGCGGAACCATATTGGGTACCACTCGAAAACCCCTTATGGACGGCCAATGCTAACGGCACCGTAGCAATCATGTGGAGGCAGACAGAAAACCTTCTGCCCTGCATGCCAGTCGAGGCGGGCGAGGCTTACATCGCCGTTAGGTGGGGCTGTGTACCAGGTATGTAAATATGAAACCGGATTTTTTAAATAGAAAATACACGTTTCTTACATGAAAATGATAAAAAATATTTTATTCGAAGTATTGCCCATCGCTAGCTATACATTTTTCCCACCTGCCTGACAATTTGTGAATGCCACGCCAAAAAAATTGTT